CCCCCCCCCGCCCCCAACCCCCATGTATCTTTGTTTTAAATTTTGGCCACTACCTTCTCTTCTCCTTCCCTTCGCCTCCTCTCCCTCTGAATTCCCGTTTTCACCAGGGTGCGCAGAAGGTTATGCCAGAGATGCCACAGAGATACAGAATATTCAGATTGCTGATGGGGATGTCTGCCGGGGCCTACCAATTCCTATATACATGGTGTTTCCCAGGTTGTTCACCTGCCCTACCCTGGAAACGACGAACTTCAAAGTTGGTGAGTGTGTAGGACTTTATGCTGTGTTGGTGTCTTTCATCTGAGAGAAGTTTCTAGTTTCACTTTAGCTTCTGGCAGGTAATGGGCTGAATTGCTGTCAGCACTGCAAGAAGAACCAAGGGCATCATCCGTCCATCTCCTTGTAGAGTTTTCCTGAACAGGATTGCAGTCTGCTGTATTTCATACAGATTGGGAAAATACAGCCCAAATACTTGTAACTAAAAACAGTTGTGCAACTATTAAGCTACTTCTGACTAGTAGAATTACATGGTAAAGGGAGAGGAGAAGCAGTGTAATGGCAGGTAACTGTTTTTCTGCCCAAAAAATTATGTGTGATTAAACATTTGAGTAATAGTCCAAGAATACAATGCCAAGATGATCCCTTTCTTCTTTTCATCACCAGGGAGAACCCCTCTTTCCATTCCCTCTCCTTTTTGTTTCTCATTCTCCTGCTGTACGGAGTCAGAAGTAGTGAGTTTAGGCTGTATGTGACTTTGTTTTTCTTGATCTACACCAGCTGCTGCTTCTTGCTTATTGCTGCCAAAATCCAACATTTTCCTTAAACACCTGAAATTTAGGATTTTCCTCACTGGTTCAAATAATTACTGCAAAAATTCTTTTTGCTAGCCTGTTTTTCTTTCCTTCATCCTGCTGCAATCTGTTGGGGATTTTTAGTTTTGTTTTTTGTTTGTTTGGTTGGTTTTTAATTTTATTGTTATCAGATTGAAGCTACAACTCCCTGCCTTTAGGATCCTTCCCAACTGACGTCCCTCCTACTTTTCTGCTGTGTATCTTGGGCAAATGTGGACAGCTAGTTTTTTCAGCTTTGCCCACCTGTTTATCTGTTCCCCCAAAAGCATCTTTGCACCTGATGTGTACAGTGGTTTTCCCCAAAATAATATTCCTGTCTACTTTTTGCCATTTCTAGCTATTGAATAGTAATTCACAGTGACAAATGGCTACTGTTAGTGTAGTAGCTGCTTTTACTTATAAGAACAGTCTTAATATAGTTAGGAAGATTCTAAAATAGGACAATTATTTTTGGTTTATTTTGATGTCTGGTTCTCTTCATTTATTAACTCTACCTGACTTCATGTTCTGTCTCCATTTAGGATCAATTATAGATCTGATACTGATTTTGGTTTTAAACAACGCAATATAATATCTAAAGAGTAGATTTTATTTTAAATTTTTTTTTTTTTAGAGCTTGCAGGTATATCGTATGTTGGTGTTTAATTTCATAAGGCCATATATAATGCAGGATTCTAAGGCTATGTTACGTGCTGACAGCAGGGGAGGAGTCTGTTCCCCAACTCTCCCACTTACATACTTGTAAACAACACGTATTGGTGTGAGGCATCTTTCCCCAAACATTTTAATCTTAGATGTCTGAACTGTGCCTGTTGTCCAGAAGACTATGTGTCAGTTTCTCAGAGATACCGAAATGAATCCAGAGGAATGGCAAAGACAGAACGAGCCAAGGTTCTCTAGGAAGGGTCCATGGTCTGGGATGCCTGTGGTGAGGTTCTGCCTGGAATACCATGTTCATCCCTGCCACAGGAAGGTCCTGTGAAGTGCTGTGTCTGAGAGAAGGGAGTGCCTGCCTCTCACCCTACTGCTACTGCTCAGATTTATATGGAACTTTTTTTTTCCCCCCCCTTCCAGAGTTTGAAGTCAACATTGTTGTCCTTCTGCACGATGATCATCTCATCACAGAGAACTTCCCGCTGAAGCTCTGCAGGATGTAAATAGCCAGAGGAGAAGCACTTTAGGATTTACTGAAAAAGGACAAAATTCTTCAGAGGCAAAGTGAAATTTTATCCATGTCTTATTTTAACTGAAAACACATCACTTTCTTCTCCCTGCTGGTAGTTTTGTGCTTTCAGTTCTCTAAATCTTGTAAGACTTTGCCTGCCTTGCGATAGCCTACATGCCAGCCAGCCAGCTTTGTCAGGGAATCGTTCTGACTTCAACAACCATGTTTTCCCCAATTTTTTTCAAACAAATCCTGAAGGAATTCTCCTCATTTTGTTTTGTAATACTTGTTCCAAATTCCTTTAAAGACCTCTTAAACCTCTTAAGTCTGGTTATACATGGTGTATATATACTGGGGGCAGGGTGGGGGACTTGTCATATAATACTGAATAGTGTCTTTCAGGTATAATAAATGGTGCTACAACAATGCAAGGTGGTGGTGTGGGATGAATATTGCAAGATGAATGTGAAATAACATCAAGTGTATTTTGGTCAAATGGGGAATATGAGTTGGTATTGGAAGAGCACTTAGTTCTAAGTTGTTTTGTGTGTGGTTTTTCCCTGGGTTCTTCCCTGGATTAGAAAAACCATGCCCTTACTTTATCTTTGTGAATTGTGTAAAATGGCACTGAAAAAGAAGATCAGTCAAAAGTTCTTAGTTTGAGAATATACTTATTGTTTTCATTATACCATCTTCCCTTTTATAAGAATTCCAAAGCCCAATTTTGATGGGGGGGGGGAGTCTGTCACGTGACAAACAGCACCACTGAACTGCTGCAGCCCAGCCTCTGCTGATGGAAAAACTGCATTAAAAACTTGTAAGCTGTGGCACCTTGTGCCTTCAGGACATGATTTGTCGTTATATAAATAACCATTCAAAGGGAGACAGTCACTCTTTTTAAGTAGGTGGGTTAATATTGTCACTTGTTCAACTTAAAGTATCAGCGTAAATGCAGGAAAGGAATACCTTAAGGTAAATACATTAAAGTGTTTGTAACTATACATCTTAAAACTGTTTCAGCAAGAAATAACCTTCCCAACACAAACAGGTGGTAGATTTTGATGTTGTTTTAACAGAACAACCACACTTTCATTCTAATCGTGAGTTTTCCATATACACTATTATGTGGGGTGGAGACAGGCTAAGTATATAAAGTATTACATAAAGTGTAAGTGTAAAGATGACAACCTCAATAAGCAGAACTAAGAAAACTGCCAAAACCAATTTCCTTTAGCTTTATCCAGCAACATTGCCAAGCAGGAAAATGTAATTCTAGGTTTGGCCCTGGTTCATCTGTACTTTAGGAATAAACATCTGAAATTCTTATTTCAATGTCTTACAACAGTCTGGGGCAGGTGGGGAAGCTATTTACTAGAAATTAACATGTCTCTAAGATCAGGAAATTGCACAGGATGATTTTTTTTGGAAAACAAAAGCCACTCTTTCTAGTCTATGTGCTGTTGTAAGAGTGCCACCTGCCGCTCAAAGGTGTCACTGTCACCTCCCACCGTCAGAAGTTACATGGAAGAATGGACTGGTGTTACCGGGCCCCAGTATGCAGAGTAGATCAGCTCCAACCTGCTCAATGGTACATACAGGACAGGGTCCAGGGCAGTTGTCTGCTCCCAGGCTTCCTTTCTAAAGGTGTGAATGAACTGTCTCTGGCAATCACTAAAATCCTTCCGGCTTACAGGAGTCAGGGAAGAGAAAAGGAACACAGATCAAAAACCTTCTTGCTTATTTGGGAACCTGGGGTCATGCCTGTACTGTGGGATTGGCTGATAACGAGCAAGTGCGCGTAAATACCAGTTCAGTGCCAAGAGCATGCACCGTTTGCATAGCCAGCTTGCTTACCCTTGTCACCTTGAGGTGGGCTATGTTCTGTTTGGAGAACTTTGTCCAGTACAGCAGGTGTAGGACTGCTTTGCCACTGCTTAGCAGGTCAAGGATACCTCTGCTCCAGAGAAATGTCCTGAGCACCAAGGACTTACTTAGGCTGCTTTTGTGAAAAGTTAAGATGATGATAGATATATATCCCCCACCCCAAGAAAATAATGGAAGCTGAAAAGGGTGCAAGTGCTGTAATGCTGAGCAGCACAGTACCTGAATCTTCAGGCAGCATATAGCAGATTACTCACCACTAACTCAGAGCAAAAAATACTACACAAAACCCACACATCAGCTACAGTAGTAATTTTATTTTTGATCCAAGTGCCAATTAACATACTGATTAATCACAGAATAGTTTAAAAGTTCATCTGAAGGATAGATACTCATTTGGGGGAACAAATGATCCCTAGAATTAGCTAACTTAATCTCATATAATCAATTTAATACTGCTTGTATCCAAACAAGAGTCACACTCTATTTTCAGAGCGGTTAAGCTGTACACTCTCTGGTCTTGGTCTTCTGGCTGAGACAAATTTTACAGAGATGAAGGTGCTTTGACAAGCTCAGACTGTTAAAGCAGTAGGAGAACCACTCTGTACCTCTCGCTGTTGATGAACATTCATGCACAGGATACAGACACAGTGTTGCTTCATTAAAAATAAAAATGTTGTAAGTCTGATTTAAACAAACCAGCTTTTCAATGATGAGGGTAATTCAAACCATATTTCAAGATTAAAGAATTGAGCCACAGTATTCCAAATTGGTGATACACAAACAGAAAGAATCACATGAGTACTTAAAAATTCTTGCTTCAGAATATTACTAAAAGTCATTCTTTAAATGATTTGAATTATTAGCTGCAGATTTATGCAGAGAAAGGAGCTGCAATTGTATGAACTGCATTCATAATGATCGCAACAAGCCTGATTTGAATCCTGCAGTTAAATTGTAATTGTTTATGCCAGAGGAAGGTAATGTCTTGGCTGTCCCAAATTCTGCTAGTCTGTCATTCAGGTCAGCTACTTGTTTGATACTAGAATTTATTTTCAGTGTGGTGTAAGCTCTGAAGGAAAGTCCCCTCTTTACAGGAATTATGCACCATCCTTTGGGAAAAATAGATACAGGAGTTTCAATATCCCTTAGCCAAAAAAACTAGCAGTTTTGTGTGCTGCTGGCCTCTGAACTACATCGGCTTTACACATTTAGGCAGCAAGCAGGAAAAGTGCTGGATCTTGGGAGTACACTAACTTGATTCTGCAGGTGCCGTGGCACTACCAGCATCTTACAGCTTAATGCTAAGCGTTAAACACTCAATCAGTCCAAGTTCCACTACCGTTTTCAGTAAAACCAGGGTTCTGTCTCTTTCTAGACATCATGTTTCTGTTCCTTATTGCGGTGGTTATTCTGCAGCCACTTTGCATCGCATTACATGTTTGAATAAAACAAAGTTTAGGCATACTTGTTCCGTACAGGAAGCTCAGGAAAATCTTCAGGTAACAGAGCATGAACGCGGCAGATGGGGCAGGTACTGGAATGTTGCTTAAGCCATGTTCTAATGCACTGCAAGAATAGGAAGATGGTGAGAAAACAAAGTCTGGTATAAAGAATTCAGGTTAAGTATGTTAATAATTGTCACTAATATGTAAGCACTGTTCCACCATGTTCTATGTTACTGAAATTTGCAGTCAGAAAACTGTTCTCCACTTCTGACACTGTGCTGATCAGTTTACATTTGCACCTATTCTGCAGTAACAAATCAGCAGTAAATAAATAAGGTAATGAGAAAAAAGTCACAGACAGAAATATCAAGTTATTCTAACATAATCCTGACTTTCTTACTACATGAAGTTATACATGCAACTACTATCAGGTGGCAAATGCAGTGCTTATAGTGACAGCCCGTTCTCTAAGTATGCTGCAAACAAATCTGTGACGTGACTACCAAGTTTATTCCCTGAAGAATAAGCTTAAATTCACTCTGATTAATTATCATTTTACTTGAAAATCTATAACCGGAAAGCTTCTGACACAGTAAGACTGTATATATAGCAAGTCTTGGTGTACAAAGTATGTAAAAGAAAATTGTGCACTGTTCTTTACACACTGAAGGGTAAGGGAGGGAGGGTCGCTTTTAGAAAGAGGAACAACAGCATAACTGAACAGAGTTCATAAACTTTTGCATCGAAGTGATAAGAACAAAAATCCTTACTTCTCTGTGAAAATGATGCCCACATTCTAGCTCACATGAGTCTCCGCTTAGCTCATCATGACATATTGTGCAAGGATCATCACTGGAAGCCTATACATAAAACGTTAAGTTATTTGAAAGCTAGCAACAATTAATCAGCAAATTCTAAGAAGGTAATGACATTACTAATTTTAACCAAGTATATTTAAGCTTTTGTACACAAAATGAACAAGTCCATTATTTTTTTCAGCAATACTTTGATTATTTCATGTCTTACAAGAAGTACATAGCAATCACTTCACATTCATTGAAAGTGGAGAACTTACTGTGTAGTCCAGTTTTTTCCATTTAGATTTAGGCGTTGCTCCAACATTTCCCCAGGGCTGAAGATTTGGCTGAGATGGATTTTTACTCGAGGCGTTGCTATGCGCAGGTCTTGCCTTGGGTGGGCTGGGTACATTTTCTTCTGCAGGTACTCCCCAACCCCGAGCTCCAGTCTGTGCTGGTGCAGCAGAGGATGCTGACTTCACAGGTCTCCCTGCTGAAGTTGGTGCCTAGACAGGTATTGGAAAACAATGTGGAGCAAGTTCATATTTTGGAGCTTGACAGCAAAGGGAAGTTTAACATTCTTTTCTGGACTGTGCTGCAATGTTTCCTCTGTCAGAGAGGTGCAGTAGAAAAGGCAGCAACTATGTGCACCAGAGTACCTTATTTTGTTGGTCCAGAATGAGTTCTGTCACTCTGCTTAGAATTTCATCGAAGCTCAAACCTGACAGTGTATTCCCATTTCTTCTTTGTATGTCTTTTATGAAGACAGTAAAGTCTGAACTGAAGGGACAAAACAGATGTAATTACTGATTGGCAATACTGTGGCTGTCATCAGCATAGTCACCGTATTGGAAAACACTGTAGCTTCCATCTTTGATTCACAGCAGTAAAGCCTTTTCAAGATACTAACTTCTCAAATGAACTGTAGCAAGTACCTTCTTCCAATACCTCTCAATAACTAGAATCTACCTTAATTGTAAAAAAACCCAAACAATAAAGTAATAATACTCCTGGTAGCTGTTCTAGTTGGGGGAAAAAACTAAACACGTAAGCCAACACCATAGGTCTGTTCCCTTAAGGAATGTCTCACTGAATGGGAGGGGAACAACTAGTATTACTGTTCTCGTGAAATAGAAGCCATCTACTAAGAAATCAATTCTTTTTGTACTTTATCATTGGATGTTCAGAACTTCTGTTACTCAACATAACATTACACTCATTAAAACAAATACCTGCTATAGTTTGGGAATATACTCTGTAGATGCGCAATAATATTTTCAAATGCTTTTGGAAGCATTTTGTTGTTTGGAAGTCCAGAAAGCCTGAGTTGTATAGCTGAGTCATCTTGGTGGTTCTGGTGTGGCTGGACATTCTGAGATTTACTTCCAGAAATTCCTGATGGGCAAGCTGCTGAAACTTTATCAGAATATGATCCTTCCAGAGGTTTGGAGTGTGCTTTCACTGATCCACCACTTGCAGAACAAGCCTTAGAATTTGCATGTGCTGGCTTAACTCCGGCCTGTGTATTAAACGAAGCATGTGTTAGACCTTGATCTTCTGAACTTGAAAATGCAGGAAGTAAATTAAGATGTGCA